TATATATATATATATATATATATGTGTATATACTATATTTGTTTATTTTTGTTATTTATTATAAATAGTTCTTTGTCAGGTAAACATGAAATACTCCAATACAAAACACAGACGTTTCCCAGCACACGTACAGGCTAGCCTGCAATAAAAACACATTACAATGTGTTAAAAACAGAGGTTTTAGTTGCACAACGTTTGCAAAATATGTGGAAGCAACGCTGCCTCGTCAAGGCTCTTCTGTGGTAGTGTGGTCCTAACTCTTTTCTATGAGCCTCCACCGTGGAGCATATTTAGCACCAGATACATTGAATGCATGTTTGCCTGGAGGTGCCCCACTCCTCCTTAAAGGAACAGGGACACACTATGAAATATTCCAAGCTCTCTCTAACCCATTCAGAGCCATATAGTTTCTCAGACAGAGATAGTAGAGTATATAGTAATCTAAAAATGAGTTTAGTTTAAAATCATTTAAAAAATAACATGGGTATGAGAATTCATTTTCAATAATACCTGTTCACTCCAATACATTGCAAAGCTTTTTGGATACATTTATGTGCAGTTTACCATTTCAGTCAATTCAAATGAGCCATGCACACTAACACACGTGGTTTGGTGTGAACAAGCCCTTAGAACTTCTTTGGCAGGGAAAATGGTTTATTATATAATATTCTATTTTATTATTATTTATATTCTACAGTTTTACATGAAATTGCTTTTAGGCAATGTATTAAACATTCCTTTAAGAGTGAATCATATTGATGTACTGCAATAATACCAACCGACAAGCATACTCTGTTGTAAATTATTTTTTCTTACAGATCCAGATGAAGATCTTGTGACTTTAAAAGGGCAGTACTGGCATTTGCTGCCCTCCTGCTTCTGCTGCTCCTGTTGCAGGACACCACTCCATAGGTCAGAGTTTATCATTCACAATGATCATCTTTACTGCTCTCAAAGCTGCCTAACATATGTCTCTCAGATGTACTGCACTTTCAGATCTCAGAAAAGTGTTACAAGACCATCAAATCACCAATGTAGTTCCCCAAGAAGCAGATCTCAGTTAAACTGCAATGACTCTGTGATGGATTACAAAGGTAGAAGACTGAACTCCACTTTACAGGAATCATCAATAACTAGATGTCAAGCAGGGCTACCGAGACTCTTTAGTGAAACAGACAGCGAGGCAAGTGGCACCTGGTGCCGAGGATACAAATATGACCGAGATGGTAAAAAGGAAATGTCATGCTCTTCATCAGACTCTGAGCCAGAGGGATATTTCCTAGGAAGACCAATCCCAAAATATTCACTCAGTAGAGGAACAGATTCACCCGTCCACATCAAAAGCAAATCTGTAAAAAGACGCCAACGGGGAAAAAGCTGTAAAGTGTCATAAAAGTACAAATGTCCCATTTAATAGGGTGGGAGAAAGTGTCACCAAATTAAATCGCTGTATGTTCAGTTGTCACAGGTTGAACTGGATGGACCCTTGTCTTTACTCAAACTCACCTACTATGTTACTATGTGGGCATTACTTTGTTGATGTATAACAAAACTTGTAAAAAATAAAAAAAAAATGTTTTCTTCTTTTAAGAGCATAACCATCTTATATAAGCTATACTGATAAAACTCTTTCCCTCAATTGTAACAGGATATTTATTTCAAGGTTATAGATGTTTTTGTATACTATTTTTTCTTCTTCACTTTTATCTATTTAAAAGATGAAGTACATAACATTTTGTGTATTCTGTACAAATATTTATAACTGAAGTTATGATCACATAGTGGCAGTATATACATACTGACCCTTTTGTATAAGAACAGAACAAGAAGTAAAAATTATTATAAAAATCATGTTCCTTATAATGATTGAATGCATGTGTTTTATCACGTTTTGTTTTTATAACTACATGCCTGTACAGGGTCTTGAGGACAGTCTTCAAAAACCTGTAGGCTTGACTATTGTGACCATGGATTTTAAAAAGGATGTACAAAGTGCCGGCCCATGGAAGCGATCTGGCGGCAGCTGAGCTGCCAGAATCGCTTCTATTGTAAAGCCAGCAGCTGGCTTTACAAAGGTAAACATAGTCTGTTTACAGGGCTGTGCTGCCAATGACATACTAGGTATGTCCATGGCCACGAAGGGCCTAAAGCAGTGGTTCTCAACCTTTCGAGGGCCGGGACCCCTTGGTAACATTTGTCAAGTTGTTGTGACCCCCAACCGTAAAATTTAGGGATGGCCCAGTACTAGTATCTGTGTGGGCTCTCGGGAGGCTATGCGGGCTCTCAGGTGGCTAGTGGGACTCTCTGTGGTGCCCAGTGTGGGCTCTGTGGTGCCCAAGCACTCACCTCCCCTCACTCCTGCCTAGTCCCCTCTCTCTGATCCTCTCCGGTCGCTGATGCTGCAGCGCCATCTAGGAGAACTGACACTGCCATGCTAGGAGCAGGCTGAGGAGCCTCTTACCTAGAGCAGCACAAGGCACGTGGGAACCCCCTCAACTGGTTGAGAACCACTGGCCTAAAGGCTGTTATATACAGAAACAGAATGAAATAGTAAATACATTGTAAAAATACACTGCTGGTGAATATTACGGGAAAGGGGGGGTGGGTGTGCTGCTAATGGTGCACTTTACTGGGAGAGGGTTCCCGCCCAGCTCACTGACATCACTGGTTACCAGGAGCTGAACAGGACACCGGTCAGAGCGTCCCAGGTTGCGAAGAGCTAGTAGCAACCTGGGACACTCTGGCGCACGTGACCAATAAGATGCCAACTTCGGCAACCGCCGGAGGCAGCCTCATAGGAATAGCCCTAGCTGCAAGTGCTATTTTATACAGGAGTGGCTGCAGTTTAAGAGCTTGGAACTTATAATAGTATCAAATTATAATAATGAATGTGCTGCGCTTCATCTAGAACAATAAACAAATCTCTATAATAAATATGTGCTAAACAATACATGCAAAGTGTTCACAATGGCTCTTCTTGTAAATATCAATCCTAAATAATATCCCTCTGGAAAGTTCAATCACATATTCCGTGTTCAAATGTGAAATCACACGTATAAAGTGCTCAAGATTTGTCCCAAGTGCACCACACTCTTTATCCTTCCACGGGGAAAGTTCTTCATACAAAGTCCATACACCAATTCCAATTATCACCCAGGTGCTCCCCCTCTCATTGTGCCGCTCACCTTAGAAGTAGAAGTAAAATCGCTTTATAGGATGTCCAATCCATCTTTTTCAAAGGCCCACTCTCCACAATCGACGTCAGCATGTCATCACGACCATATGCAATAAAATATAAAAACAGAAGGAGCCACTTGTTTCCAAAACACCGCTGCTATAAATGTGACACTATCTCAGTCAATAAAAGATATTGACTTTGCATTAAGTTTTGAACCCTTTTTTTTTTATCCGATTAGTCGATTAATCGAACTTAATAATCGGCTAACTAATCGATTATGAAAATAATCGTTAGCTGCAGCCCTATTGGAGTGCGAGTGACCATTCATCGATTTTGTACATTCTCCCTGTGCTTGCGTGGGTTTCCTCCGGGTACTCCGGTTTCCTCCCACACTCCAAAGACATGCTGGAAGGTTAATTGGCTGCTGTCTAAATCGGCCCTCTATGTATGCATGTGAGATAAGAACCTTAGATTGTAAGCTCCATGAGGGCAAGGACTGATGTGAATGTACGCTATGTAAAAGCGCTGCGTAAATTGTCGGCGCTATATAAATACCTGTAATAAATAAATCAATACTGATTTGGCAGACGCAGAAATATTAACACACATGCCGACCTCCCACAGAAATTCTGACAACACACACAGAAACCCTTACAAAAAATATAGACATTGCATGCAAAGAAACCATCACAAACATAGGCGCAGACATTAACACTGGTACCATATATAGTTACATTTTGTTTTGAAGTATGAAATTTGCCACGCGGCTTCCAAGGGAGAAGAAAATGTGTCCATTTGGCCCCAAGTGAATTGAGTTTGAGACCCCTTATTTAGGGTAAAGAAAAAAGGTTCAAAGTCGATTTTAAAAAAAACCCTCGCTATGATTTTGCCAGGCTTTGTTCCAGAAACATCACCTTAGTGTAATTTTAAATGGGACACATTAAAGAATAAAATGTTTATGTTATCTACAGAAACACTACTTTTTTTTCTTTTAAACCAATAGTGCTCAAAACACCATTTTGGCTATACTGTAGCTTGCGTAACAAGTATCATTTTTGCAAGAAAATATTGCCAAAAAGAAAACCTATTTCATCCCCCTAAAAACAATATTACTTTATTTTAGATTATGACAAAGTTATTGAAAAGTATTACAAATTAAAGAACGATGAGGCGAGTGAAAATTCACTCAGTAGTTCTAGCTGACCTGTGACAATGAAACAGTCACAGGTCGGCTCAATAGATCGGGAAGTGAGCGAACACATACCGTCGCTCGCTCACTTCACGATCCTGTCCCTGCAGAGAGCCGTGACTGTCACTCACGGCTCCTTGCAGGGATCGCCCCCCCTCTCGCGCTGACTGGCGGAACAGACAGGGGAGGGTACAGCTGGCTATGCTCTGTCTCTAGATAGGTAGAGCCAGCTGTCACTCACGCAGTTGGGTGGATCCAGACAGTAATGTCGGCATCCGTCTCGGCTGCGGCGACTCAGTAGAACGCGAGCTGTAGTTCGCGGTATACTGAGCTTTGGGTGACGGGAGGGCGCTAGTTTGTGTCCTCCCGTTATCCTTAGGAGAACGATGGGGAAAAGCCCTGAACCCATAGTTCTCCTTTAAAGAGGCCAATAGGGGAAATGTAATTTTTTTAAAAAGGATAGAGGTATGAGAGCTAAAGTAGTTAACGAAATAAGGAAAATGCTAGTTACTGGGCAGTCACCGGCTTTCATTCTTGATAAACTGCTGACTTATAACAAACAAGGTGCAACGAAATTCAAAACTCCAGATCTACATTACTGTTCCAGGTCATTAACACAGTAATGGAAAAGGTCTGCATGGTTGCCAGTCATTTAGCATTTGCAGTCATATTTGAAAACCTCATACTTGGCACACCTACCCTGCTGGTGCAATATTCAAAAAGTATAGGGTGAAGCTCTGTTCACTTATCTGGTACAACAGTTCTCAAGGTGTTAAAATGTTATGTCACACAGCCTATTTAACTGCTACAAGTGGAATTTTGCAACTTGTTAAAAATGATAAAAACCTTTAGCAGGATATAATTTTCTAAAAGTGTCAAAAAATTACATTTAATTAAATCTCCTAATCTAGTTTACAATTTTTCACAGAAGTGTGCATTGTGCTTGAAGACAAATTGCAGGCCTCATCCCATAAGAACATTCTCTTTTTTTGTCATACTGATAAAGAGTACTGCACATCTAAAGGGGCAAGCAAGGGTGATGCAAACCCTTCAATTTAGTGCTCACTTTTGGCAAGAAAAGTGGGAAGCCTGTCTCCATATCCACAGAACAATAGTGGATAAGGATATGCAATAAAGTCTGCTTAAAAAAGAAGTATGAGGTGAGTGAAAATCACTCAGCCTCATAGTTCGAGCCGACATGTGACAATGAAACTGTCACATGTCGGCTCAATAGATCGGGAAGTGAGTGAACACATACCATCGCTCGCTCACTTTCCAATCATCTCCCTGCAGAGAGCCGTGACTGTCACTCATGGCTCTCTGTAGGGATTCCCTCCCCGAGCACTGACTGGCGGAATGGACGGGTACAGCTGGCTCTGCCTCTAGCTAGGCAGAGCCAGCTGTCAATCACACAGCTGGGTGGATCTCGACAGTAATGTCGGGATCCGTCCTAGCTGCGGCGTTCTCAGTATACCGCAAGCCACAGCTTTGGGTCACGCGAGGACACTAGTTTGTGTCCTCCTGTGACCCTTAGAACTATGGGGAAAAGCACTGACCCCATAGTTCTCCTTTAAGTTTTGCAATGTATATAGCTGATGTGTTGGGGAATGTTTCTTAAAATGAAGAGTCTGACTTGTAGCAAGCAGAACCTCCCACTTAGTGTAGTTAATTATGAGTAGAATGCAGGTACAAATTTCTACCAGCAGCAACAGGTAAGTGTCTATGCTGAATTTTTCTAAAATCCTTGCAATGTACAGGTGAAACTCGAATAATTAGAATATCGTGCAAAAGTTCATTTATTTCACTAATGCAGGATGCTTCAATAGCGGCCTTCAGCTCTTCTGCATTGTTCGGTCTCACGTCTCTCATCTTTCTCTTGGCAATGCCCCATAGATTCTCTATGGGGTTCAGGTCAGGCGAGTTTGCTGGCCAATCAAGCACAGTAATCCCACGGTCATTGAACCAGGTTTTGGTGCTTTTGGCAGTGTGGGCAGGTGCCAAGTCCTGCTGGAAAATGAAGTCAGCATCCCCATAGAGCTCGTCTGCGGAAGGAAGCATGAAGTGCTCCAAAATCTCCTGGTAGACGGCTGCGTTGACCCTGGACTTAATGAAGCACAGTGGACCAACACCAGCAGATGACATGGCTCCCCAAATCAACACAGACTGTGGAAACTTCACACTGGACTTCAAGCATCTTGCAGTGTGTGCCTCTCCATTCTTCCTCCATACTCTGGGTCCTCGGTTTCCAAATGAGATGCAAAATTTGCTCTCATCAGAAAAGAGGACTTTGGACCACTGAGCAACAGACCAGGTCTGTTTTTCTTTAGCCCAGGTAAGACGCTTCTGACGTTGTTTGTTGTTCAGGAGTGGCTTGATAAGAGGAATACGACATTTGAAGGCCATGTCCAGGAACCGTCTGTGTGTGGTAGCTCTTGATGCACTGACTCCAGCCTCAGTCCACTCCTTGTGAAAGTTTTCTTCCACACTTCTCCCTTCCACATAACTTTCTATTAATGTGCTTTGATACAGCACTTTGGGAACATCCAACTTCTTTTGCAATTACCTTTTGAGGCTTTCCCTCATGTGTCTATGATGGTTTTCTGCACAACTGTCAGGTCAGCAGTCTTTCCCATGATTGTGATTCCGACTGAACCAGACTGAGAGACCATTTAAAGGCTCAGGAACCCTTTGCAGGTGTTATGGCTTAATTAGCTGATTAGAGTGGGACACTTTGAGCCTAGAATATTGCACCTTTTCACAATATTCTAATTTTCTGAGATTGTGGATGTGGGGTTTTCATGAGCTGTAAGCCATAATCATCACAATTATGACAAATTACGGCTTGAACTATCTTGCTTTGCATGTAATGAGTCTATCTCATATATTAGTTTCACCTTTTAAGTTGCATTAGTGAAATAAATGAACGATATTTGCACGATATTCAAATTATTCGAGTTTCACCTGTATATAACCATCATGGAGAGGATTGGTGTTTTTTTTTAATATATATTTAAAAAGGTATATTCCAGCCAAAACAGGCAATATTAACAAAGATGTGGTGGCTTTCATTTCATGCAATGTGTTGTACACACAAACAAAAACACACATACAGGTGCCAAACTGGATGCTCTACCAGATTACTACTCCAGGTTTTGAAAATGGTAAATACAGCCTTGTGTCTCATGAAGTGTGGCACAGCCTGGATACTCTTTTGTGGAATATAAATAAACCAGATTTTTTTGGTACATGGTTTTATTCATCTTCCCATATGTAATACTGTTGTGGAAAAATTGTTTTTTATTTCAGACCAGAACCACACAATCAAGAATACAACTCAGACATGCCTTGACTGAGAAGATCTTGGGCACTTGGGTGCAGCGTCTATGAAAAATCTCTAGATGTGCTAGAAACAAGTCCATGATAGAAGGAAAAGGAAAAAAAAAAAAGAATCTTGCTGATCTCTATAATTACACACTGTCAGCATCAGTTCATCATATATCGGAGTTCTGAAGTCGTTCTGAAACGTTTACAGGGATATTATCATAGTGGTCAATGAATTTGCTCAGTTCTTGCACACAGTGTCCAGCAATATCCTGCAGAGTAGACCGTAGGGCATTTGACACCGCAACCTCAAGAGATGGGTCTTTCTTCAGTAATGTGCTGGCAACACATGCAAATGTCCTGCAGTCTTGGGAAAATGCCTGCAAAGGGGGACAAAAATACAGTATTAAAGGAGAACTATGAGGCGAGTGCTGGATTCCACCCTCCCCACTCCGATCAGCAATCGCTGACTGGCGGAACGGACGGGGGAGGGTACAGCTGGCTCTGCCTCTAGATAAGCAGAGCCAGCTGTCAGTCACGCAGCTGGGTAGATCCAGACATAATTGTCGGGATCTGCTTCAGCTGCGGCGTCTCAGTATATCGCGAGCAGCAGCTTGCGGTATACTGCTGCGTCTCAGTATACCGCGAGCTACAGCTCGCGGTATACTGAGCCTAGGGGGACGGGAGGACGCTAGTTTGTGTCCTCCCGTTACCCTAAGGAGAACTATGGGGAAAAGCTCTAACCTCATAGTCCTCCTTTAATAAACTTTTATAACATTATTATACAGGATTTATATAGCGTCAACAGTTTGCTCAGCGCTTTACAAAATAGTGGAGACAGTACAGTTACAATACAATTTACAGTACAATACAGTTTCAGAACAATAGGGTTGGGAGGACCCTGCTCGCGAGAGCTTACAATCTAGTAGGAGGGGCAAGTGATACAAAAGGTAATAATTGTTTGGATTGAGTTATTGGAGGAAGTAAAAGCCAGTTATGTTGAGATGAGGTAGGCTTCCCTGAAGAGATGGGTTTTTAAGGATCGCCTAAAGGTGGGCAGCGTAGGAGATAGGCGGACAGAATGGGGTAAGAAGTTCCAGAGGATGGGGGACACTCTGGACAACTCCCGGAGGCGAGTATGGGAGGAGGTAATGAGAGAGCTAGAGAGCAGGAGGCCTTAAGAGGAACGGAGAGGACGTTTTGGGTGATATTTTGAGATGAGATCAGTGAGGTAGGTTGGGGCGGAGTTGTAAATGGCTTTGTATGTTGTTAGTATTTTGAATGTTATTCGTTGGGCAAGTGGGAGCCAGTGGAGGGAGGCAAACACTGAACGGTTGGTAAGGTGGATGAGTCTGGCAGCAGCATTCATGATAGACTGAAGGGGGGATAGTCTGCTTAGTGGTAGGCCAACAAGGAGGGAGTTACAGTAGTCAAGACGAGAGATTACAAGGGAGTGAATTAGAAGCTTTGTGGTTTCGTTTGTTAAAAAGGGGCGTATTTTGGAAATGTTACGGAGGTTGAGTCGGCAAGATTTGGATAGTGATTGGATGTGGGGCTGAAAGGAGAGCTCAGAGTCAAGGATTACACCGAGTACCCTGGCTTGACGGGAGGGGTTGATCGTAGTGTTGTTGATAGTGATGGGGAAGTTGGGGGAGGGAACACAGAGAGGAGGAAAAATTATAAGCTCAGTTTTTGACAGATTGAGGTAGTGGTGTGACATCCATGCTGAGATGTCACTGAGTAGATTTGAGATACGTGTAGAGACAAAAGGGGTTGAGTTGAGGAGTAGAGAGATAGATTTGGGTGTCATCGGCATTTAGATGGTATTGGAAACCATGGGAGGCTAAGTGTAGTGTGTAGATGGAGAATATATATATATATTCCCTTTTGCAAGCGGACAACATTATGAAGTTCTTTTCAAAGACATTGTGAGGCCATCACATCCAAAATCCTGCATCTGGGATGAGAAAGAAACTAGTCTGTTTTGGAATGTATAGAAGAACTCTGCTGAATACTAAAACTATCTAAAGTGATCACTTAAAGTAAAAAGGTCCACTTCACTCCCCACCATGTACTCCCAGCTGATCCACTAAGATCTCAGACTGGAGAAAGAAAATGATGTAAGCTCCAAACCAACTTGTCAACTCTTAAACATGGCTATGGTTTTTTTTTTCTGACCTTATGCGACATTGCTGAACCAATCACGAGGAATAATCAGTCACACGAGAAAGAATGACTGAATCACATACTAATCCATACCTGGAAATGCAGAGGAAAGGGGCGGCAGCAATATGAGGTAGGGCATGAGACCCATTTAGTATGTACACCAGGAAAAGGGTTGTCCATGTACCTCTGATGCAGCTGGAAGGGATTTGGCAAAACTGGCCAGGATACACATAACTGACAGCAATTTGCCCTCCTTACCATCTTGTCTTGAATTGTATTGTGATTGTAATGTCTTCCTTATATTGTAAAGCGCTGCGCAAAGTGTTGGTGCTATATAAATCCTGTATAATAATATACTAATTTGAGAAGCCAAATGTGATAGATTTAAACCCATACAGATTACATTTTGGGCTGCAAATATTAAACATTACATTATTCACACTGTGAATTAATGTATCCTAGAACTGGATTATTGGATCTTAGGTCCATTACAGAACTGCAATAGACCAAAAGCATTCATACCTTGTCTGTATATGGTGCATCATTATGCCTTTACTAATGTACATCTTCCTGGAAAATATCCCGTAACAAGATGGGATGTTAATAAGTCCTGCATTTGCAGCTGCAGCACCCTCTGGAGATCACACTTATCTAGAGAGGGTAGCTGCGGGCTGTGTGGGGGCGTCCGAAGGTTTTGATCGGTAACCACTCTGAGTGGTTTTTAATCAAATTCTGTGGAGTGTTCACTTTTTTACTATAACAGGGCAGTGAAAGTATGAAAACCAACCTGTACTTCTTTGCATTAGGAATGCGGGTGGGTGAGAAAGGATCTGCCCTGAGACACTATAGCTGCCCACACACCTTACAATTTATCTGCAGATTTTCTGTGGTCAGATGGAAAAGGTGCAACAGATTCCTCCATCTACACTTAACTGTGTGGATGGAGGAATCTCCACCTGGGCCAATCTGTTGCACTGTTTCCATCTGACCACAGAAAATCTGCAGATAAATTGTAAGGTGTATGGGCACCTTAAGGGTGACTAAAGGCAGCACAGTAGGGAAGCCTTGGTCTCTGATGAAAGTCCAAACTACTTGTCCAGGGAGAAAAAAGATCTGTCCGACCTGGACCTGAGCAAAAGGAGACTACCATGAAGGAAGAAACCATGAGACCCAAGACCAGCAAGCATATGTACAGGGAAGTCTTGCACTGCATTCAAGTACTGTGGACCTGAAACTACAGAGCCCTCAGAAACTACAGAAAATCCATGCCAAATCTGTGGCCCCGACTCTAAAACTGATAAGTCACTAAGGCTGGGTTCACACCTGAACGTATTTTTTCTGCTCGTTTTTCAGCTCCTTTTTTTCCACGTTTTTTCGTTTCACTGGCGGTATGATTGTTTTTTTCCCCCCTTATTTTCTCTATTTTAAAAAAAAATAAAAAAATTTCACTTTCAAACTTCCCGCCGGCTCCGCCCCCCCCTGCGACGCGGCAGTTCCCAAAGGACGGAACTCGGAAGTCGGCAGCCACCGGAGGACACAGCGAGGATCGCGGACAAGGTAGGACCTGTACGCTGTATTCCCGAGTATGGCTCGGGGTCACCGCTTTGTTAACCCCGATCCACACTCAAGAATACCAATGGAAATGCGCGGAAAAGCGCCCCAAAAGAAGCTCCTGTTCTTCTTTGGGTGTAGGTCCGTTTTTCCGCGTGTTCCTACGCACTGTAAAACGCCCAGGTGGGAGCCATGCCCATAGGCAATTATTGGTTTTCACATGTTGAGCGTTTTACAGTGTATAGGAACGTGCTGTAAAACGCCCAGATGTGAACCAGGCCTAAAGCGGAATTATAGAGCAAAAATAAATCTTTTGTAAATCAGTCTGTGACTGGTTCTCTTTGAAGGCACTGTAACATTTGTATTACTCAACTAAAATTGGGGCAAGAGTGTTTAAAAAAAAAAAAAAAGAAGAAGAAGTGTACAGTTCCAGCTCAGCTTTCCTGCAGTTGAGAGGTCACCCAACTAGAGAAACTCACCAACTCGATTTCTTCTTTTTTAGCCAAAATAAATGCTTTACGTAGCTCCTGTGCCGTATGAGAGAGTCCATAGTTCACGACTGGTTCTGGGTGTCTCTTTGTACTGGGGCCAGCTGCCTCTTTAGAGTCTGAGGACATATCTGCCCAACCACCCTTAAAAGGAGAAAGAAAAACCATCAAACTGTCCCCCTTTCATTGTAATATACAAGCTGTTGTTTTCAGGTTTTACTTTGTGAAGGCATTTACACTAAACACCAGCATTACTGATGCCTTGCAACCCAATCACTTCATTTGCACTGTTAACAGGTCATTCCGCACCACAGATTACAACACTATCTCACATTACGCATTCTCTCAGAGGAAATATATGGATTTATTTTGGCAGCTGATTATCCCATTATTTTATAGTTTTATTAGGAAGAAATGGGAAAAAATACTTTCATGGGATTTTCCCTAAAAATTATGTTTCTGTATTTAAAAGAACACCAGAAACGACCTCATAACACAATAGTTCAACTTTCTAAAGAACAGGGATGCCTCACATGTGCGCTTTTTACACAAAACCAGATCGTACAAACAACTAGGGTCCTCCCTTCGGTTCAGATTTTTTTTTTACCTTTGCAATGCACATAGCAGCACACAAACTGTGCTGTTTTCTCTCTCACCAACAGTTTGCATTGGGATTGTGCAGACAAATACTGGGATGATGGCAACTTTTTCATGGGATTTCAAATCACAAAAACTCATTGATTTTTATACATTGAAAGGGTTTTATGCTCTTCCAATGTCACTGGAAACAACTAATGTGTTACCATGTTAATTTTTGTAACCTTCTATGGAAAACCTCACCTGGGACTATTGCAGTGATCTATTACCTAAAGCATGTCTGTATCCCAAAAGCAAAATACATTGCAGCTTATCAATTCTTAGATGTGGTGGTTGCATTTGTTTTCCTTTATTTTCACCTTGTAATTCGGCCAGTAAGTCTGTTTTTTCTAACTTCCTCTGACAGACTAAACTGTTCATCAAAAGTGGCAAGTAGAGGGTTAAACACTGACAGGTGTGCTTACAATGGTCAGTTTGTATTTATCTTATGTAAAACCTTCATCCTTAAAAGGAATAAAATAAAATGTTGATGTAACTGCTTAAAAAGTGCCAGCTAGAGTTCAGATTTCATTTGTTATTCAAGTCCCATCAAAATTTGCTAGTGAGTCTAAGGCCTCATTCACACAGCTAAGAGCAGGCCTGTACAGATCATGCGGCGTGCACAGCCGTTCCCAGGAAGGACAGGTGCTGCATGTGATTGTACGCAGCAGCCTGTTCTTCTTTATGGGAGGTCACGACTGTACGCTCACCTGAGCTGCAACTCCGTGCGGGTGTCCGTACTCTGACGCAGACAGGATGGATGCTGTCTGTGTCCGAGCACGGACACAAGCACGGATGTGCAGTTCAGGTGAGCGTACTCCCATAGAGAAGAACAGGCTGCTGCGTACAAACACACGCAGCACCTGTCCTTCCCAGGAACGGCCCAGTATGGCCGTACACACTGCACAGACCTGTATGGGCCAACTCTAAGCAGTGTTAATGAGGCCTATGACCTCTTTCACACAGACAGTTCTAATCAGCAGATGATCCGGGCATGGATCCTCTGCTGTTCAGGGCAGTTATTAAGGGATGTCACTGTCTTGCAATGGAGGGAAAAAAGTGAACTTATCTGACCCATGTTAGGTCTATGGAGAATCGGATGTAAATGGACATGTGTCCATTTACCCGATGTGCTAAGATCAGGCCCACTAAAACAGAACTCTGTTTCGTTTTCCAGACCTGGACGGAGTTGAGGGTAATCGGATATAAACGGACACATGTCTGTTTAGATCCGGTTGCCCACAGACTAACATTGGGTTCCCGATCAGATCCGCCTGACAAACTGATAAAACTGTTGGTGGTTGATAAAAATATAGACACATTAAAAGTAGTATGAACAACTGAAATGAAATACCAAGAGTGGGATCTCTACAGTTCTATTTGTTAAGAATTGGTCTTCATTTTGGCTGCGTATACTTTTTCCCAAAAAGGTTTCCGCTTGCGTTTCATTCCCAGTAATGCTGAAATCTTGTTTTTCTTCTTTAATTACTGGCAGTGTCCGAATTTCCTAAAGAAATCAAAAGAATGTAGAATCCAACATCAAAAGGCAAAAACATCAGTGCTTGCAGATTAGGCATGCATCATCTTTTCGCAAGGACCTCTTCAGACCTATGCGCTGCAATAAAATGGCATAACATTTTTAATGGCACCCCGACGCACAGCTACAGTAGCAGGCAACATACCAGTGCTGTTTCACCAATATACCTTAAAGCCCAAATATAACTTTCCCCATCTCCACTTTAACCCCCCTCACTTTTTTTATCTGAACCCCAGCTTCATTAAAAAAAAAAATCTATTGTCCTCCAAGGGTTAATAGGGCCCCCGGTATGAATATGTATACATCTCCCACAAATGCCAGACACAATTTATATTGTGCCCACAAATAAATATACTCTGTTACACAAAAAACATTCATGTATATCCACCACTCATGTAATACATAGTAAGGCACTACAATAAGGATTGTTGGAGATGCCTGCAAGTTACCACTGGGGTGGCCAATTAAATTCATTTTGGATGATTATAGTTTAAAAATGTCTTAAGACTTCCAATATTTTCTTAGAGTGACAGTAAACTGAGGAGTTAAATCTTAAAAATACATTCAAGTACCTGAACTATTAACAATACTGTATCTTATTTGTGCATCACTCAGCTGTAGATCCTCAAATCATCTCTGAATTGGTGCCGACACTGTCCTTCCTCTGGAGGGTGGTTACTTTTGTTACCCTTGGTCCCTGTGTGTGTTGTAAAGTAGCCACCGCTCCAAGCTCACTCCCAGGATGGACTATCATTTCAATACAAATGAGTAAACTAAAATGTGAGATTGTAGTCTATTACTGGAGTGAGCTTGGAGTGGTAATTACTTTACCACACACACAGGGACCATGGGGAACAAATGTAGCCACCCTCCAGAAGGAAGGACAGTGTCAGCATGAATTCAGAGATGATTTGAGGATCTACAGCCGAGTGATGCACACATTTTTAAGATTTAACTCTTGAGCTTAGTGTCACTTTAACCTACAAAATGGGTATGGCTGGGTCTATTACATTAAGGTAGGGCTGCAACAACTAATCGCTTAAAATCGATTTTTCTTTAAATGCAACCAATCGATTGATCGAAAATAAATAAATCGGGCAACTAATCGATTATGAAAATAATCGTTAGCTGCAGCCCTACATTTAGGAGTTAAATAGTGACCTTGTAAGGGTTTCTAAAACGGCCTCTTCGCCAATTCGCATAGTGGGAAATGTTCTTCGCACATGTTTTTTTTAAAGGAACATAAAAAAAACAAAAACATGTTCAATGACGTGTTATAAATAACACATTACTGCAAGCGCATTGAGGAATGTACAGTACAGTATGCACACACTCAAGACAGAGAAAGGTATACAATTTTAGGGGAGGAGAAAGAGAGCCAATATTTGCATTTTCCAAGTCCAAGTGCTGTGGATAATAATTTGTGCTTTGCAAGGAAAGCAAACACAGACCGTCACTTTTCAGTACTGTAGGCAAAAAGGGGAAAATAAATCAAACATGTAGAGGAGAATATGTATAGAGTATAGCATATAGAAGAACTGATAGACATAACAGTGCACATTGTTTTTGTGTCTGAAATGCCAACTGTTTAACCACTTCAGCTGAGCTTTTTTTAGTTTCTGTTTGTTAATGACTGATGCACTTTTTACATTTTTGCTGTGTGATTTCTCCAACCGCAGTAATACACTCTCTTACTAAGTGCACCCACACATATTATTATGGATGTATACTAGCATTGGTGCCGAGAACGAGTATTTGGGCGAGTACTCATACTCGCCCAAATGCTCCGATACTTACCTCCGATACCAGAACTTCAGGTCAGAGGGAGACATCCCTCTGACTGGCAGTGCCGAGGGAGCATGGGGTCGGCTTCCTTTCCAATCAGGGAGCCAGGCGGTGGGTTATGACCCGCCTCCCAGCTTCCTGATTGGCTAGGAAGCCGGCTTCACTTGTTGCTAGGCAGCCTGGCTTCCTGACCAATCAGGAAACCAGACGGCACCCAATGACCCACCTCCAGACTTCCTGATTGGTCAGGCAGCCTCGGAAAGTGAAGCAGGTGTTCTGTCATAGAACATTGGCTTCCCAGGCAATCAGGAAGCCAGGCAACGGGTCAGGATCCGCCGATCGACTTCCTGTTAATAGGGGTACATGGCACTGGTACTGGCGAGTACCAGAAAAAAAAATATCGGTACTCGTACTCAATACCGAAAGACCGGTATCGGTGCATCCCTACATATTATATATTGTGTATTTAGAGGACAGATAGGGCTATATATTTATATCACAGTGATCGCCCTAAGCCTAACGCTTCACTTACAAATAAAATATAGAAAAATGAGGGGGGAAAAACTTTTCCCCAGTTTTATTATTATTTTTTTTAAATAGCACAGCTAAAAAAAAGCATTCAAATAAATGTACTTATCCTTTATTTGGAAACACCTTGCATCCCTAGGATTTTAGAAATTGTTCTGTACTTTTCAGACAATAAGTTAACATTTTACTTTTTTTTTTTCTAAAAGCAACTATTGGTTAGGCTAGTGACATACAATGTCCCACTTAGTGACAGCGACATACTTGGAAAGTCGCCATCAAGAGGGGGTTAAATAAAAAAATAAATCTGCAGCTCAGCTGTAGATTTTCATTGTAAAGGGTTTTACAATGAAAGCACCCCATGTGATAGCAGATTGGTAGTTACAGGTACTATTTAAGGTGATACTGGGGGGCCAAAAAGACCCCCAGTGTCACCTTTACACTAGAAATAAGCTATTGAAGTGCAGATCACACATTAATAGCTTATTGCTGGGCTTCACGGATAGCTATGGGACCGGAAGTGATGTAATCTGCATCGCTCACAGTCCGGGGAGGAGATCAGTGAACGGAGACCGCCGTTCTCCTCCCCAGTTTCCACCGGGGCGTTCACCGGCCCATAGAAGCGCTCTGGCGACAACTGAAATCGCCAGAATCGCCTCTATTGTAAAGTTGGCTGTCTGCTTTACAGATGTAAACAGTCCCATCCTCAAAAGCCGCCAGGAGTCTATTTAAAACGGGCCCGATGCCAGTGACGAACACTGTACGTCACTGGTCGTGAAGGGGTTAAAAGAGAAAAAACACAGGGCAATGTGCATGCATTGCAGAGAGAGACTGCTTGTTGTGTGTGTTTGTTTTGAGATACACTTTAAGCTCTGCAAACAATCAGCTTTTTTACTAATGTACATAATATATGTACAGAATATCCTGGAAAATGTGAAAAGCAGCCTAGAATTCCACCCCCTAACTAAAATGAATATACAATATCTCATATTTACCAGAATGAAAAAAATATATATTTCTCCTCACTACCAATAAGAAATGAAAATGTATGCAAGTGTGTGTTTGTGGGTATAAAATATTTTGTGTCCCCATATATTTACATGGATTTCAGTTTTACAACTTTTAGATAGCATATATACAATACCTCTTTGGAATCTTCCATGCACTCTATTTTACAAAAAAGTTGTGTTGTCATCTCTGGTGTGTTTGGTTTAGTGACACATACTGGTTCTCTGCTGTGTTTTTTAATCTCTGTTTTTGTATCTGCCTGTTCTACTTTCACTTCTTCTTTGGCAGGATTTGCCCCCTTATCTAAGGGCTTTACACCTTCTGAAGGCTTCTTATTCTCGCTGAAAAGTTTTGCATCTTCTTTTGTAGGTGCGGCACTGACTTGTGCAGGTTTTGCTCCATTCTGTACAGGCTTTGTTTCATCTTGTTTATGCTTTTTATTATTATCTTCAGTTTTTGTAACTTGCTGTGTAACCTTTGCATCATGCTGTGCAGGCTTTGCAGGCTCCTGTGCAAGATTATTATCCTGCGAGGGCACCGTCTTCGTTTCACTGGGGTTCTGTTGAAAATTAAGGAAACCGTGACATATCCCAACAATTAATGCTTATTATCTATGAAGACAAAGGTTAAAAGGGAAATCTCACCTGAGAGCTGCCACCTACTGATGCTGCAACACTACGTACTGGATTATGAACCACTAAAAAAAAATGCATTAAAAGGAATCAGAAAGAGGTTTCTAGCATATGCTATGCCTCTGCACAAGATGAACTACGTAATATTACTCTGTCCCTCCATTTAAAAAAAAAAACCTCAACCTAGTCTAAGCTGTTTTATGTAATTTCTACACGAAATTCCAAACCATTAAGGGCCCGTTCACACCAAAATCCAAAGGAAATCGCAGGTCAATGGAGGGTCCTGTTGACTTGCAATTTCAACCTCCACTGACTTACGTTGAGTTTTTTTTTCTCTTTTTTTTGCCATTTAATTAATATGTTCTGAGTAGACAAACATCTATGGGGTTATTATTATTTTTTTTTAACTTCCATTACATTGCAATTACATCTATTTTTGTCCCGTTACATTGAAAAAAGAAGTTGGGCAAGCTCTACTTTTTTTGTCATTGAACTGCAAAGGAACACAACAGATTGCAGTAGTGTGCACTGGTCCTATTCACACCTATACACGTTTCAGTGCCCGTGTTAGCATCCATTGAAAAACGGATCGCAAGGCAGCACAATAAATCTGGAGTCAGTGGGGCCTTTGTGTTGGCTTACACTCCTCCGTGCATTACCTAAATATCATCCTAAACAACTGCCAATGTTGTTCGTTTTGCTTCAGTTTAGCTGTCAAATGTAAATTGTTTTCTGCGTTTAGATATGCTATATTGAAATGAAAAGATTGCTGGCCTGCTTGCCATTTGTGGTGTTATGCTGCCATTATAGCATACAGTGGGAAAGGATGAAAAACAATAAAAATATTGCAGCTTACCAGGCCTTAGATAAACCTTTTTGTCAGGCTTTTTAACCACTTCAAGACCAGGTGTTTAGACCCCCTTCCTGGCCAGGCCATTTTTCAGTATTCAGCGCTGCGGTACTTTGACTGACGTTTATTCCGTCATGCAACGCTGTACTGAAATGAATTTTATACCATTTTTTGGGGACAGATAGAGCTTTCTTTTGGTGGTATTTAAACACCACTGGGGGGGTTTTATTTTTTACTATAATTAGGAAAAATTACCGAAAATTTTGGGGGAAAAAAAAGTTTACATTATGTTAGGAAACATTTATTATTACCCAGTTTTTTGGTAAAATATAAAAGATCGGGTCACGTCGGGTAAATAGACACCAAACATGTCGAGCTTTAAAATTGCGCGCACCCGCGAAATCGCAGAAAACTACCATACCCAAAATTGGCCATGGGCGACGCTTTAAAAGCTTTTACCGCTCATCAGTTTAGTGTTATCAGTGATTGATGGCCCTAGACTTATTGCTCTCACTCCGACGTTCGCGGCGATATGCAACATGTGCGGCGTAATGGGCGCAATCGTCTTTTGTTTGCATGCGTGTATGTATGGGTGGGGACTTAAAACATTTTTTTGTTTTTTTTATTCTTTTTTATGGTGTAACTTTTTACATACTTTTAAATTTTTTTCCCCTTTTTTTCCCACTAAACTTTATTGCTATCACATACGGGGGCTAATTAAAAACCCCTCTATGACCCCTAATGTCACCTAGGACCCCCCAAAAGAAGCTGATGAAGCAGAGATCTGCTCCATCATCCCGTTTTTTTTTTTTCACAGGGCGGGCCCGGAGGTGGTTAACATTTATTTTCATCTGGTAATCCTGCGAACAACACACTTCCTGTGTGGCTACAGTCACTCATCCAGTGTATCTATGAAGTCATGGTTGCCACCCAGTGTGGTGGTAAGAGTGTTATAACTACACAAAATGAGTACAGAAAATCTAACTGGGACTCTGGAAACAACCACATGCTGCCATTCACAGAAAACAGAGTTTATCCAAGCACCCCAATGATGGTGTGGTTGTAGTCAACTCTACGTACTATACATTACTTTTTTTTGGGGGGGGGAGGGGGTACAGACAGAGCTTTTATATGGTATTATTTTTAATAATGTACACGTAGTCCCCGAGTTACATACATCCGACATTCATACGACCCCCACTTACAAACTGAGGCTATTACTGTACAGCAAGGGGTCCCAGGCTGCAGCCAAAGTGAACTGCGCAGCATTTCAGTAGTTGTAACGCTACCGTGCTCGTGCCGACGAGGAGTGCCCGCTTTTTGGGACTGGTTTGTAGTACTGTACGTACATTACAGGAAGTTGGCTCTTGTTAGATGTGCAGATGAGGGGTGTCCGCCTCTTCTTCCGTGTCACTGTGAGGTTTTTACTGCTGTCTGTATCCTCATTAGAAAGATTTAATCTCGCTTCCTGTCCTTGAGACAACAGTAAGTGAGAGGAAATCTACCCCTAGGAAGGGAAATTCATTTCCTGTAAGAGTGATCATGGGAAAAACGGTGTCTCCACTGAAGCTTTATCACCAATCCTTGTTTCCACGACAACCCAAAATCTTCAAAATCCAATTATCACAGGGACAGAAAGTGAGGTGAAATCTTCTGAACAGGGGCACACACAGCACAACAAACGTTACAGGGGGTAAACCCTTCCCTACGCTATCCAAAACTAAAAAAAAAAAAAAAAGTTGGGCTGGAGTTACACTTAAAAATTTACCTGTTCCAACTTACATACAAATTCAACTTATGAACAAACCTACAGTCCCTATCTTGTTCGTAACCCGGGGACTGCCTGTATTGTCAATATATTTGTTTATTATTGCTAAAGATTTCAACGACAATGGGATCACTTACATGAAGCTCTGATGCCCGCATAGTAAGCGCAAATGTAACTATATATTTTTATATGGACCCTAGCTGTCAAAGCTGGCGGTTCCAGCAATCAAAGCTGCTGGGAAACAAAATGACAGATGAGTCTCAGTGCTGATGTAAAAATGGCACAGGGATTAATACATGCTGTCCCTGTGTGGTTTTACAATGGCACACAGAGACCCAAGTGGTCAGGAGACTGCTAAAAGGGGAGAGATACATTTTTTGGCTGCCCACCAATGAAGCAGTGACTTTACACTTGCAGCCACTCTTAATTAAGCCTACCTAATTATCAGTGCATTTGGCCACCTTTGCATAATTCCAAAAAAAACTATTTAAAGCTGAACTTCAGCAGGAACAATTACTAGCTGGGCGGATCCCGTCATCTACGTCGGGATCCGCTCCAGGTGCGGCGTCTCAGTATACCGCGAGCTGTAGCTTGCGGTATACTGAGCTTAGGGTAACGGGAGGACGCTAGTTTGTGTCCTCCCGTTACCCTAAGGAGAACTATGGGGAAAAACACTGACCCCATAGTTCTCCTTTAAGTTCTATATTAAGTGTATTTTTAATTGTTGCTAGTACAAGCACATACATTTTACTTCTTCCTATTGTAATGCAATGTGCAATAGCAGACTGGAGGCAAATAAACTAAATGGGTATTAGCGGTTTGCCTGGAGAAAGACCACAGGAAAAAAATGTTCTTAACCCATGTAGTGGAACTACCCCTGCCCTGCAAGGGTTTAGTGCTCTTTTTTGTCTAAGTGCTCAAAAAAAAAAAGTTATACTTGCCAGACCATCCCAGCTGGCTCCCTGGTTCTGTGATCACTGAAGCGTGTCTACTCCTCCACTGCACAGATGGACTGCTCCTCGGCGTCCTCACATTTATACACAGTCTATGCACAGTGTATAGAGCGTGATGACATGAGGATCCTTAGACCGTTCCAGCAGAGGAACAGAGACACCGGTCTAAGATCGAGTCCGCTTGGATGGTCTGGTGAGTGTAATTTTTTGTAGCACCTAGACACAAAACAGGACTTAATGCATGCAATGTGGGGGTAGCCACACTGCAAGGGTTAATACATTTGTTTGCTGGAGTTCTCCTTTAAGCACTCTGCCCACAGTTTCTTTTTAGTGACGCAAAAGCAGTGCTTGATTGCCTGCTGTTCCCAATGAAAGCAAGAATATTTACGAATATTTAAAGTTACACTATAGCAACCACAATTCTGCTGTGAACTGAATTTCCTGTTACCCAACCCTGGAGAGTATTCACCATCTATTCCTATGGATTAACGCCTAGTGTTCTGTTGACACTTAATGCTGGCTTCACAGACTCCCTAATTGATCCTCTTTTGGAACATATACAGAAAGTTCTCCTAAAAAAGGCAAACAAGAAATTCAGCTTTAAAGCAGAGACTTGCCCATCATGCTATAACTCTATCAATTGTCAACTCCATCAAATTATGCCCTGCTCCACCCAAAACAATGACGATAGAGTTTTAGTTTAAAGAACTCCGGGCAGAATTTCTCTTAACCCTTGCAGTGGGGCTACCCCCGCAATGCAAGGGTTAGGTGCTTGTTTTTTACTAGGTGCTTAAAAAAGAAAAAAAGTTATACTCCCCCGAACCACCAAGCCGCCTTGCTCTTAGATCGCTCCCTGGAGCCTCTCTTCCCCCTCCTCTGCAGCTGTCTAGGGTCCCGTGAATATAATGAGTTATACAGTGTATAGACGTGAGGACGCTGAGGAACATTTTAATGCTTGAGCGTAGAAAGAGAAAGGCTTCAGTGACCAGAGAAGCAGGCAGCTGGCTCAGTGGTTTGGGCGAGTAGAACTGTGTTTTTAACAAACTGACAAAAATGAGCACTGCAGGGGTTAAGAACACTTTTGCCTGGAGTTCTTCTTTAGAGTTTAGGTTTTTCATAATTGCACTACAAAGGAAATGAAGGAATGAAATCTCACTGGCCATTAGCCCTGTCCTCCACATATTAAGAGAAAAAAAATGACCCCTTTTACATGCAGTATATGGGTTACAGTGTTTATTATTAATACCTGCTTGTACGCACCTGGCTCTACAGGTTTTTCCGTACTAGTCTTCATTCTAACATCGCTTTCCTTCATTTGGGGCTTAAAACCCTTATAGGGATACTTCTTTCGCTGAGATTCTGAAAGATTTTGGTAACGACCTGATTCTCCATGGATTTGCTGATATCCCCCACGGAAATCCTTCTGATAGCCACTCTCATGACGGCCCCTCATACGATAAGCTTGGTCTCTGGGATCTCTGTGCTCGTGATACGGTCGGCTTTCTTCGTGATACGGTCGGCTTTCTTCGTGATATGGTCGGCTTTCTTCGTGATACGGTCGGTTTTCTTCGTGATACGGTCGGCTTTCTTCATGATACGGTCGGCTTTCTTCGTGATAATCGTATGAGGGTTCCTGATATTCCATATACTGACTGTCGTCATAATTTCTGTCATGACATGCATTATGATCATATTGCCCATAATTGTTATGTTCCCTGTAAAAAAACATAATTATAAGTAAAATAAATTCAGGATAAAGCACCAAAAAGACCATTTTAAAATAAGAATATGAATAAATATTATTCATGAAGAAAATAACATACATATTTATATTAAAAAAAATAATGTTTGGTTCAGGGCTTTAAATATCTAGAAGCCAGCTCAAACGGTAAGGAAACCGGTAACAAATGTATCTCCTGATACACTGCAGAAGTGAGATATGAGCTAAAAAATTATTGTCAATTGGCACATTTTTCATGAGAGTGCAAGCTAACTATTGTTCAGAATACCATTTTTGAAAAGGCACTTTATCCGAGCTGTGAAAACCCACTTTAAATCAGGATGTGTAATATGCATATTCCAATAACATTTACATAATGATGTTGTGAGTTTGTGCCACACAGCGCCATATTGCATGGTGTACTCCCAATGGCACCCTTTGTGATGCACATCCTCAGATTATCGCAAGCCTGTGACCTGGATTTTCCAAAGTATGAGTTACAAGTGGTAACCTACATAATTGGATATATATAAAATACTGTATACATTTATGCAACATTAAAGTGACATTAAAGACCTGCCACAGTCAGCGGTGTGGCGGGTCTCCGATCCAGCACTGACTCCTCTGTACTTGCTGGCACTTCCGATCCCATGGTGTCTGCATGCGGGTGCACGCGTCCATAGACTTACCTTGCGTCTCTCCTCATCTCCCGGACGAAAACCTGAACTGCGCATGCGGCCGCCCCAAGATGCTTTGCGGCCGCCCGAGCAGTTTCAGATTCTCGGACGGCGCACGGCAAAGACGGGGTAAGTTTAAACTGCTTTTTTTTTTTACTTTTTGCATATATCTACTGCTTGCTAGCCTTATATATATGCAAAAAAAAACAGAGGGTTTAGAAACCCTTTAAGGCTGGGCTGGATTTTTGTATTCCTTTATGATGTTGTAAAATCATTTTCTTCAGTAGTTTATTGGGGAACAAAGCCTGATCTTCAGGAGGCTAAGCACTAGACAAAATCAAATGCACAGCTCCACCTACTGTATGGGTATACCCCTATACAAACTAAACAAAGCCCAGAAGTTAGCAGTGAACGGGGAACATGGGCTTCTGTCCTTATTAAATAATCTGGAAAATTCAGCATGAGATAGTTGCACTGGATGCCAGAGATCCCTTAGAGCAGGGGTGGGCAACTCCGGCCCTCTAGGTGTTGTGGAACTACAAGTCCCATAAGGCATAGAAAGACTGGCAGTTACAGGCCTTGACTTGACTCAGAGGCAGAACCATGTTGGGATTTGTAGTTAAAGCACAGTTGGGGGGCCATAGTTGCCCACCCCTGCCTTACATCCTCAGGGCTGACAAAAAGAAGTCTGTATTCTGGAAAGGAGCTTTGCCAGACAGATAAAACTCTTACTAATATTACCACTTGTACCACATCTAGAGAGGGAAGAGCAACCTCTGAGATAGGCAGAAGAAAGGTAGCATAATATCTTTAAGAAGAAAAGAGGACAAAACCTTTAGAAGGAAAAAGACAGTCTACTCTAGGCCACAAATTAGCCTTGAAAGGAGTAAGAAGGGGAGATCAACAAGACAGAGTTGCCAACACTGATCCTCTCCTGGCCAAGGTGATGACAATAAATATGGATACTTTCTGAGAAAAGGTTATGCAACAGTTTAAAGTGATGACCCTTAAGTGTTGAAAGCACTATAATAAGATCCCACTGAGCCATAGAAGGCTTAACAGGTGGGATAATGCAAGTGACTACCTTAAGGGTGCATAGCCAAGGGTCAATGAAACAAAATCAGGAGAGCCAAGATATGGCCCTTGATGGTGCTTATAGCCAGATCAAAGTCCATGCCAGACTGAAGAAAACAAAAAAACAGAGTGACTGTGAAGGCTTTATGATTAACGTTAGGAGTTACACACACCATCTTAAAAGGGCCCTCCAGGTACGGTGACACTGCAGCTGAAAAGGAATTTTACATGCCTGGAGAGATTACAGCTTCTGACAGACCACATTGTGTCAGAATGTGGGGTTCAATAGTTAAGTCAGAGAATGAAAAGGAGGATGGAATATTGGTGCCTAACACAGAGAGTCTGGTCAAATGGGAAGGAGCTACTGAGTGTTTGTGACTAGAGAAATTATGTCTGAGTATTAGGCTCTTCTTGGCCAGTCCAGAGCTACCAAAACAGCCGGACCCCTTCTGACTTGACCTTACGTAAGGGGGAAAAATAAGTTTCAGCGGGAGAAACACAAATCAGAGTACAGCTTCCACAAAGCGACTAGAGGATCAGCTACATCTGGTAGAGTGTCTCTTGAACTGGAAATCTTTTTGTGACAGGTCGCCAGAAGAAACATGGCAATCCATCAGGACAACTCAGAAAGTCTTCCTGCCATTTTTCCACAACAGAACACAGAAGATGTGTTCATCTTGAGCTATGGTCTGACAAATGACTTGATGGTTTATGAACACCCCTGCTGTGGCATAGTCATACTTTATCCTCACCAGAATGCCCTAGAGTTGTGAGGTCCAATAAACAAGGTACAAGCAGATGGTACAGATTTCCATCCTGAGTCCACCAACTCCATACAGACAGGGAGGGGAGAACTCCTCTCCAACTGGAAAGGTTTGCATCCACGGTAAGCATTTTCCAGTAAATAGGCAGGTTTTGGTGTAACATTGGAGACAAATCTTACTGTACAAGGAGAGGGGAGACCTGTCACATCTGGATTTGATGGTTTTCTGTAGTGCTCCAGTGTCAAACTGAACCATTGGGATTAATAAAGTAAAAAACTTTATTTTCCCCCCCAAACCCCCCCCCCCCGCCCCCCCTGCTGCTGTAAAGACTTACCTTAAATGATGCCTCTTGATCCGTTCATCTTCTTCTTTGCAGTAGTTTTCAGGAGTCACTCCAGCGCTGGTGCCAATCTCCGATACAGCGCTGACTGCTGTGTCTTCTGTGTCCCAGAGTCTGTGTGGGTGCACGCTGCCGGGCTGCCTGCATTGATTTACCTTGGTCTCTCCTCTTCTCCCGGCCGAAGATCTCTACTGCGCTTGGATCCGCCCCATCATCCTATGCGGCCGTCCAAGAATTTTCAAAACTTCTGACCTTTTTTAGGTTTAACCTTTTTGGTAACTTTTTTTGAAATATTTTTGCATATATCTACTGGTTCCCAGCAGTAGATATATGCAAAAAAGTGAGGGTTTAATTATCCTTTAATAAGGTGCAAACCATTAGTTCTATGACTCGATTAACTTCTGTGGGCGGGAAGATGTATCCTCTGAGAACTGTCCTTCAGAAATAGAAAGGAATCTGCATTTATGTTCAAGTTTAAATTTTCACTGTGTCCTTGAAGGACAGAGAGCCTACAACAGGAATTACTGGTTGCCTTGTTAAGGCAATACACAGGTGGGGCCACGGATAAGAATTTCCACTTGTTCTTGTTTTATGCTGTGCCCCAGAGACTGGATGAAGGGTAGGAAAGCATTATGTTTGCAGAAGACCTGTGAAAACCAAGCAGTTTGGCTTCACTTGAATCAAGCTGTCTATAACAACTTCATTTGGCGGCCGCGGGGGGGAGTTAGTTGTATCCTCTGACAACTCCAATACACTTGTTTACAGCAGCTGAAGCCCCATTCTGATGCTTCTAGCCATTCAATGCCTGATTTAACACTTTAGCCAGCTTAAAGTGGAGACCCGTCCGCATGGCGGGGTACCTAGATATTAGAAAACAATAGTGGTCCTTTGCTCTAAAATGGCAGTGCAAACAGTAGTAATATTAAAAGGTAACTGTCCCAGTATAGATGAGAATAAAGAGGAGGAAGCCCACTTCCACACCGCTGCTCTAAAGAAACACAACAGAGCCCTCTGGATACAGATTACAAACCACCGAGGAAGTGCAGCATTAGTAAATAACAGTGGCATCCGTTATGACAGTGAGTCAGGTAATGATCAATGTGGTAAATATCAAGATCTGGAGGTCTGGTGTAACACAAGGAGTAGGACAGCAGTAAATATCTGAAACTGAGGGTCCACTATGACACATTGAGCTGGGTAAAGGCCACTGCAGTGAATATCTAAAGGCACAGTGTAACAAGAGGGGTAAAATGACTGCTGCAGTGAATATCTGAATTTGGGGGTCAAGTAAGACACTGAGCCAGGTAATAGAGTTAGAGAATATTTAAATCTGGGGGGTCAGGCAAGACACTGATCAAACAATGGCTTCAGAGGTGAACAGCTCATTAGGACACTGCCAGCAGCTGTTAACAGAACAATCTTGACTTTTAATGGCTAGATTCAGCAGAGTGGGAGAGACATCCAACTTTCCAAGAACACCAAGCTTAACTGGGCTTGTTTAATATGTGCAGAGCTACAGCTACTAGGTGAAGCTGTGCTTTTAATTTTGCCTAGTGACCAAACTCCTAGAGACAGAAAGTATATCCAGAAGTCATAGACTGTCCCCCAAAAATAAAATAATGAAATGCATTTTCAAACAGTGCTGGCAAAGCACCTGAATCTTTCTAGACATCAGCCTCCTGTAATTATCTGAAACGCAGCACTGAGAAAGAGGGTCAATGCTATCAGCCAATCAGGGTTCCCTGGATTACACGTTGACAACGACTCTCATGATCGATTATCATCAATAAAATTGATTTGTTGTTGCAGCCCTAGTGCTGTGTGATCATTATTATTGAAAGCATGTGTTTTTTGTGATATCTGTGACAAATAAACTCTGCATAATATTCCTAGATACATTTCACATATGGAAGAACAGTAAGCAAAGCATGTTACCGATGATCCTGGTAGCCTCCTCTGTAAGGAACAGACTGGTGATTTCTACGGGGGAAATTCTTAAAAGAAAAAAAAACAGAAGGAAAAACAAAACTGTTAAATTGTATTCTTCCATTTGCACATAGTCAAGACAAGTCTGCATAAGCAGATATCAGTTTATTAAAATCATACCATAAAACTTATCAAATACACTATATTGCCAAAAGTAGGGATGCCCCGATACCACTTTTTCAAGACCAAGTACAAATACTTGCCCTCACGTACTTGCCGATACCAATTACTTTTTCTTAAAGGGGCATGCAAATTTTTTTTCGAAAACAATACAGATTTTAGGGCAGTTTCTCACCACGCTGCGTCCAGATGAGTCACCAGGGCTGTCTATGGATCTCTCCAGCGCTGCATACACGTCAGCAGGGCTGCCTATGGATCTCTCCACGGCTCTGTGGACAGGTGCGGGGCTAGAACGTAGTGATCAGCACGGAGCGGGTGCCGGTCTTGTGCCCGCTCCGAGGCTGTATTTGCAGTGTGGGGCTGCCTCGAGCTCTGTCTGAGCCGGGAAGGCGGAGGTGGAGATGTGGGACCTGGAAGTCAGTGTCAAAGACAGCTACTGCCAGGTCCCCGGAAGGCTGCCTCAGGCCCTCCAAATCATTGGACTCACCTCCATGGCCACAGGTGTATAAAATCAAGCACCTAGGCATGCAGACTGCTTCTACAAACATTTGTGCAAGAATGAGTTGCTCTCAGGAGCTCAGCAGCAGTGTTCTTGTTTTAACCACTTCTGCAGGCCGTTGTATATAGACACATTGCGGCCCGGAAGTGGTTAAATTCCTTTTACTTGGGTTAGGGTTTCTTGGCTTCTTAAGTGTTAAAAGTTCTACTTGCTTCTCTGTAATGTTAGGAGGGACTGTGAGGGGTTTGTTCATTAAAATTTGTAGATTTCAACACTGCCTGCCATATCAAATGGTTAAAGGAGTACAACTGGCCTGTGCATTGTATGTTAATGAAGTTATTTAGATAAACACAAGCCTCAAATTTTAGTCCTAAGTCTTTCTATAAGGACAGATCACTGTGAAGGTGAAAGGAACAAAACCTGGATTCAGCCATATTGGCTGCTGCAATAAAACATCTAATTATTATTTTTTGGAGATACCACTACTGCAAAGCGCTCCCTCTACCAAGATGGCCACCTCTACACAAAGCTCTACTCTCTGCCTTTTTCTAACCACACTAACAGAAGCAAAAGACTGTGTGAGGAGAAGAAGAAAAAAAACTGGGAGGAGAGCCCATCCAACTGACCTATCAAAGTCTCTCCTCTAATCATAAAGCTCCCTCTGCAGTATTAAATAGAGAGAACATTAGGGAGCAATGGGCTCCATAAAAAGGCCATAAAATGAGTATAACAGAGAGCAGATGGCCTTATCCCCTCGCCAGTATTAACTGTCCCAATGATTATGTCATCCTTATTAATCTAAGCATCTGTGTGGCATTTTAATGCATATAACTTGTGAGGAATGTGTGCATTAATGTCCTTCTAATCATTGGCTTCAAATGTATGAAGACATAAGGAGCACTTACCTCTCTATGATGTCCTTGATGCCACCCCCTGTCTCCACCTCGACGATACATTTCTTACAAACCAGGCCAGCTTGACCTAAAATGGAAAAGTAAAATACATAAAAGCACAAACTTCTTTTGATTTTTACCTACATTTTGAAGTTACCTAAAGGTTTCTTGTTTCTTTTATAAATTCTTTATTTATAGGTATTTCCATAAAGTATAAAAACAAAAGTAAAACAAATAACAGTCGTACAAAAAGTACAGAAGCTATGTCAAAGACGACCCAGATAAGACAGAATAACATGTGATAACCACCTTGTAAAAGCGAACCCATGTCAGCCCAGCCATAAAACTTGTATAATTAGCTCCATTATACCACGTACTTATTCATGAACTTTAGACACATAAAATCATCATGCTTATACGCAAGAATGTTGCAAGGTGGTTGAGAGAAGAGAAGAATGATGGAGAAAAGAATGTAGAAAAGACAAGAGGGCAGTAAGGATGGGGGGAGTGCTTATATCTCTCAGCGAACCTCCACAGACTCCTGTTCTTACCTTTACCTGGCCCGGCCAGTGGCCTGGTTATACTGTCAACCATAAGAGTACTTTAGATGGCGGCAGTCCCGTATCTCCACCCCAGGTACGCCAAAGATTGCCATGGGGCATCCATGGTTCGCTATTCACAGCCCCCCTATCAGGGCTGCATAGTCTGGGGACGAGATGAATTCCGTCCAGTAGAACCAGGTGCAATTGAACTGTGTAACTCTGTGGTTAGCAGAGCCCAGGAGATCCTCCATCTTGTAGGTCTCCCCAACCCTGGTCAGCCAGTGAGATCGGAGGTGCAGATGTGCTCTTCCAGTACAAAGGTAGGCACACTTTCGCCGCACTGAGTAAGTGCACCAAGAGAGATCTCTTGTATCGGCGTAAGGGCATGGGGGCCAAGTGTAGCAGGTATTCAGCCGGATCGGACCCCAAGCTAACCCCAGTCAATTTGTGTCATATCTCTGCCACTTTACCCCAGAACTGAGCCGAGGGCAGGACCAGAATATATGCAGTAGCGATCCCTCCTGTTCCTGGCATCGCCAACATAGTGGAGAGCACTGTGGAAACATTTTATGCAGGGTTTTTGGAACCTGGTACCATCTGGATAGGATTTTAAACCCTTTTTCCAGGATATTGCTGGAGATGGAGGCTTTATGTGTCATCTGAAAGATCCTATCCACTTAGAGATGTGGTGAAAGTGGTTCCCAGATCCCGCTCCCATTTAGCTACATACACCAGCAGGGCACCCGGTGGGTCGCATAGCAAACGGTAGGTAACCGACAGGCCATGGCGGGTAGGACACTCCATCAGACAACATTCTTCGAAGGGGGTCAGGGGAGGTAATGCCTGTGGGTGTCCCACCACCTGAGTGAGGAAATTACGTATCTGGAGCGCCTTCCAGAAAGTCATGGGAGGGGTAGTGCTAGTTTGAATGTCCCGAATGGGTAGGAGTCCCGTGCCTGTACGTAAATGGTATACCCTAAAACTGCCTGACTGTATTAAACAGTTGACCTCCTTGTCATGGGTTGAGACGGGGAGGTCTGGGTGTCCTAACACTGGAGTCATCATGGAAGGGTATATATCTGATTGACAACAATTCCTTTCCACTTTACAGACGACCAGGGTAGGGCCAATAAGTGGGTGGGTACGGAGGTGGTTCGTGTGTTTCACGCCTGTTCCATGGGGATTCAATATTTCTCCGTCCCTCCCTGACACCAATCCAGCACCCTGGTCAGGTGAACTGCCTTGTGATAAAGTAGGGGGATCAGGGAACCCTATGCCCCCTTTATGTTTTGGTTGAGACATAAGTAGCTGGCTAAGTCGGTGGCCCTTCTGTGCCCACAGGAAGTTGCCAAATTCTACTTTCACCTTTTTCAGGAAGCAGGACGGGACATGTACCGGCAGGGTCTGGAGGAGATAGAGGAGGCGGGGCAGAACATTCATTTTGAGAATGCTATTCCGAACGAACCAGGTAAATATGTTCTTCGTCCAAAGCTGTAGATCTACCTTTACCTTAGTAAGGAACGGTGGAAAATTGGCCGAAAAGATCCCCCCAACAGTAGACGTCAGGTAGATCCCCAGGTACTTAATGCTGTGTGACGCCCATGTGAACGGGAAGTATGTAGAAAGGGAATCTATGAATGCGGTGGGCACGTTAATGTTCAATGCTTCCGACTTCTGCATTTTAATCACGAAGTTGGATAGGGATCTGTAGTGTGCCAGCTCTGCTAGAAGATTTGGCAGGGATGTAGCCAGACTCGTCACAAAAAAGAGCAGGTCATCCACATAACCCGCCACTTTGTGGGTCGATCCCCCTACCGAGAGTCCCGGAAAGTTTGGATTGTTTTGTACACGGCACAAAAGGGGCTCCAAGGTCAACACAAATAGGAGCGGGGACAATGGGCACCCCTGACGTGTGCCATTGAGGGAAAAGTCACCAGAAGCCGCCCCGTTGAGTCGCACATATGCTGTCAGATGCGAGTATAAGCTAGCCAGCCATTTGGAGAACTCGTTCCCCACTCCCAGGTAGGTCGTCTTCAGAAAAACCCAATCTACCCTATTGAATGCCTTTTCGGCATCCGTAGACAGGAGAATGGTGGCGATGTCCAATGACCTAGCTAGGTGGATGGCATTCAGGGCCCGTGTCGTATTTTCTTTAGCTTCCCTACCCGGGATGAAGCCCACCTTGTCAGCCTGTATAAGTGCTGGCATGTGGGGTAGCAATCTATTAGCTAGAATTTTCGTAAACAGCTTGAGAGCTACATTAATCAAGGAGATAGGGCGGTAATTAACGCATTGGGTGTGGTCTTTCCCGTCTTTCGGTATAACTGTAATGGCCGCCCTTAACGTATCCGCCGGGATCTCGTGGCCATCCAGAACCGAGTTAACGGCCCTAAGGAAAGGTTGTACAAGGAGGGAGGAGAAGTGTTTGTAATAAAAAAGCGTAAAGCTATCTGGTCCCGATACTTTGTGAGGTTTAGATTCTTTTATCGCTCTGTGTACCTCATCCTCCTCCAGAGGTCCAGACGGGGAGAGGCGAGCCTCTTGTGTGAGGAGGGGCAGCCCAGATTCCTCTAGAAAGGCGGTTATGGCCTGAGTCTTATCCACCAGCTCCTGGCCTGTGGGTGACTGGGACAAGTTATATAGTAACTGGTAAAATTCCCGGAAGTGATCTGCAATTTCCCTGGATTCCCTCAG